ATCGCCGCTTTAGTTGGTGTGCGGCGGCGGCGGCGGAGATGAGCGGGAATCTCACCTCATCATCAACTTACGCTCCTTCAGTGGGCGAAAGCCGCCCAATTACAGTCGGCAATGTTGCTAATTCCCTAAAGTCCGATCGTGTCGGGGCTAGGACCTCCGAGATTCGAAATCTTATGCAGTCTGATTTGGGTCCGAATTCATAGAAGTAGCAGAATCGACACTCAGGCTCCAATACATAAATAGACGCTTGTCCTCACTCCAGTTCAAGCATTCACAAGCTCAATCACTACACTCAAGCACAACTCTATCATCACTACACCTCTCAAAGAAACTCAACCTCAAGCCAAAAAGCAAAAAAAAAATGGCCAAGTACGCAAAAGACCAACCCACCGGCTTCAAGAACGCCATCGAGCGCGTCGCCATCGTCGGAGTAAGTCACTCTGCCAATCACAAACCCCTACACAGCACTACTAACACACACGTCTAGGCCGGAGGCACCGTGGGATTTTACATCGCCACTGAGCTCCTCAAAACCGGCAAACACACAGTTACAGCCTTGACCCGGGCCGACAGCACCAACAAACTCCCTGAGGGGGTCCAAATCGCCCACATCAACTACAACGATGAAGCTACCATCGTCTCCGCCCTAAAGGGCCAGCAATTTCTCGTCATCACCATGTCCCCCACCGCGCCCCGGGACACCCACAGCAAGATCGTCCAGGCAGCTGCCGAGGCCGGTATTCCCTACGTCATGCCGAATGGGTACGGCGGGGACATCGACAAGGTCAAGCTGGGCGAAGAGACCTTCCTCGGCCCTGCCTACAAAGCCAACCGAGACCAGGTCGTCCAGCTCGGTATGCAGTGGATTTCTGTGTGCTGTGGATTCTGGTACGACTATAGCTTGGCGGGTGGAGAAGTGCGCTTTGGGTTCGACTTTGACAAGCGGGCTGTGACTTTCTACGATGATGGCACTACTAAGAACACGACGTCGACGTTGGCGCAGGTTGGGCGGGCCGTGGCGAAGGTGCTTAGTCTTAAGGAGCTTCCTGAGGATGAGAGTGATCAGAGTCTTACGTTGTCGTCGTTCCTGAATAAGCCTTTTTACATTAAGAGCTTCGTTGTCAACCAGAAGGATATGTTTGAGAGTGTCAAACGTGTTACTGGAACTACGGATGCTGACTGGACGATTACCCATGAGAGTACTAAGAAGCGGTATGAGGAGGGATTGGCTCTGGTTAAGGGTGGTAACATGGCTGGATTTGCTAAATTGCTGTACGCAAGAGGGTTTTACCCGGAGGATCCGAGTGATCACTTGGACAAAGTGCAGAATGAGCTGCTTGGATTGCCGGAGGAGAGCTTGGATGATGCTACCAAGGATGCTATCGATTTGGTCAAGAAGCTGCAGGCTCGTGCGGAGCGTATGGCGTCCTAAAGGAAGAGTACGGATTCGATGTTTGCGATGTGGAAGTGAGCGGTTCTCGATGTTTAATATTACCGTAATAATTTGATTGTCAACTTGCTTTCTTAGATTACATCCCTTCACAATGTCCACAATATCCCTGCTCTCATCCACAGCACAGCTAGCACTTTTGGCTCCATTAACTTTCCTGTAACCCCAATCCCTTCCCCTGGGTTAACGCGACCTCGCTTGGGTTTGGTCGAGTTATCAAAATTCTTAGTACCAGATGACCCTAGTCAAAGGTTAGAAGAGTACATAATACCACATGTTGCGGAGAACAGGGTTCCCCGTTTGCTGGCCATACCTAAGCCACCAATCATTTGTGGTCGACAAAAGCGTGCCCGTCCAGTCCTGACACCAAGTCACCAAGATACTGTGAACGTGAGAATCAAGAACTACCATCGTCTTCAGTAGCTCTCTTGCTGAATAGCACTCGCGTCGACGCAAAGGGCATGCGGAAATCCTCCCAAGTCCACCATCTGGGTGCCTCATGGTCCGCCAATCGCAAGGTATAGTTGGTCACGATATACACAACAATGATCTTGATCATAAAAGCGGCATGGTGTCTTCCTGGGCTAAGTGGGACCGGTTAGTATAGGCCGTAACTAAAACATGTCAATAGGTATCGAGCAAACCAAGCGAGAGATCCATAGCCCCAGATCAAGTGATTCTCAGAGACGTCGGCAAATTTGTACGATGTATCCTTGCATCGCCCGTTAAGGAATCGCTTGCCGTCGAATTGCTCGGGCTCTGGGTAGATGTGCTCATTGCGTGTGGCATCGTACGAGGAAACGCAAAGAATTGATCCGGCCGGGATAGAGAGGGGCGCGGACGAGAACGAATAATCGGTCAGGGCTTTGCGGCGGATCGCGACTACACACAGAGTCCCGAAGGGAAGGAATTAGAGACACAAGTGCCTAGGACTCAGCTGGCAGGGCCGCACCTGAGAAATCTACTTACTTTTATCCAAGGAATTCACTCGTGCAGTTTCCCGCATGAAACTATCCAAAAGTGGTAGCTCGTTGATCTTGCTTGCGAGGTCGTCTTGGCTCTGCAGGGCCTCGTCTCGGAGCGCATCCTGCCACTCGGACCGCAGGCACAGCTCAACCAGAATTGCGTGTAGGTTTACCCATGGCTGGTGCGAGGCTGCTAGCCAGAGGCCCAGGAGTGATTGGGAAAGTCTCTCTGGTGTCCAGTAGCTGCGGTCTGCCGTCGATAAGTCAACCATGTGGTAAAGGAGTGTTAACTGTGAACCACGTCCATTAGTCGGGGTAGGTCCATGCTGCAGCAGAATTCTAGAATCTTAGCCCAAACCTTCTTGATCTCTGGTTTTTCATCCAAATTGTCAATTCCAGCCGTTATCACGTCAATCAGCCTGTCTTGGATCAGGTGCATTGCCGATCCACGCCAGGTGATAATTGCATGGATGAGGCTAGATAAGTGGAATAGGTTAGTAGAGTACCCGCATAGCGACTGCTGACTCTAAACATACGGTGCAATAAATCTTGGAGTTAGTTGAAATGCAGCAGAACATGCTTTGATCTGGCGTGGGTGATTCAACAGGGCGTCTCGAAGACGCGGGTCAGACGCTGAAGCCAAGTTATTCGCGTTCAGACAGGTGTTTCGTCAAGAGGTGGTGAGTAGAGATAGAACTTACTCATATTTCCCCCGAAAAACCACGCGCCCATGAGACGTGAGAGGATCGTTTCGCTAAATAGAGCTAGACGGATAGACGTAGTGCCTCCTGGCAAGTCAACTCAATGACTGATACAAGATAGCTTGGCAGGTATGCTAGTAACTGATTTCCAGCGAGCGAACGTACCAGAAGAGATTTCCGCATCCACAATGGTCTTCAGGTGATGAAGAAGATACGGGTATAGTTCCTCGAACTGGGTCGGACCTCGCACCTGAAGAACCCGGCTAAGAAGACGCGACTTTCTCGTGTTGACCTCGTTGTGGTCTGCGCCGTTCAACGTATGTTTGAATCCGAACAGCTGGGTAGGTTAGAGCTCTGTGCCATTATTCTAATTTGGCGGACTTACGTCTGAATAGACCGCTCGCTGAGATAAGACTGATGTCTCGCTGAGCTCGGTCATTATTTTTCTGGTTGCTGGGATCATGATCGGCTCCGGCGCCCAGGGACGGTAGTACCGATGGTCACGCTGCGGAGGTTAGATTATATTCAAAACCCTATATCGCTTTGCTCGTGGCTGCATCACGTACGAAGTTACGGACTACATTCCGAATGTTGGTGACATGGTTTTTCTGTTTGGTGACGTGTTAGTTCGCGGTACCAAGGTGGAGAGGCAGACCTGACCGTACCTCAATCACCGAGTAGTACAGCACATTTGCTATCAGGAGTGCGCAGGCCACAGCTAACAGCCAGGGGTAGAATGCATCTGCCATGGTGATGAGTGCGCCGATGTTTCCAACGGAAATCGTAGACATCATGCAGTTAAGGAGAGACGGAAGGAAGCAGTATGTGCGCACGAAGTTGAACTTGTTCCAGAGATCTGGCAAGCCCATTCACCTTTTTCGAATGCAAACACTAGGTGTGAGCTGGTACTTGTTTGCTTGAAATCAAGAGAGGTAACTGTTTTTCAATCAAGTCGACCATATTAAGCAAACAAGCTTTGGAAGGAATGTTCGAGCTTTTATCAAAAGTACATTGAAGTCATTTGGCAATACTTTTCCCTAGAGACTAACTTCTTGGTCTAAAGGGCATGATGATACTAATATTACATCAAGCGCACTATGCATTCTGCACGGTACTCTATGCCTGTGAAACAGCATTTACCAATCGTAAACAGAAAGGCCTGAGCATCAACTGCCTTAACTTAGCACTGTGATGTCCTGGGTAAGGAGTATACTGTCAATAGTCCAAACGCCAAGTAGTACCCGTCACTTCTAATCCAAAGAACAGGGTTTGGTTGTTCACATTTACGTGTACAAGAAAGAGCAACTACAGAGCATCAAAGCATAATTACTGACAAGAAGTAAATAGATCTATCCGCGAGAAAATATACATAAAAGAACATCAGACTATCAAAAGTCCTGATTATGGAAAGATTGGAACAAGAGCGGTAACTTTCTAGACTATAGTGGACTCAAGACAGCAAGGAAATTACAATCATTTCCCCACATATTCAAACTTCTTTTTCTGGTGGCTGTAGATGTAAGCATACTCGGCCACATCAAACCCCCAGTTACCAAAGACCTTGGTGCTCGCACTGCAGCCTTTCATGCCTTTGGCATTGTATGCCTTGCAGTACGGCCTATTCATAAGTATGTCAGATCTAGATATCGAAAATGATACAGAAGGAAGCATAGCCACACGTATTACGTAAACGGATAGAGACGATTTCCACTCACCCAACACCCAACACTAGCTATTGTCTTAGCCCTGGGTTTAAACCCCGTAATCTCGAACCACGACCTTACTGAGCTTTTCGAGGTCTCGTTATATGCCCGAATTTTGTTTGCATGGTAGAAGGTATGCAAGGAGTGTTTCTGCTCTTCCTGCGAGTTGTCCGTGACTCCGACCAGGATTGCACTAAGAAAGCGATCATATAACGATTTTATGGACCAATTTCGCAAAGTTTATGACGACGACATGCCCAACCTCATGTGCGTCGTTCGCTCGCCATCAGAGCTATTATCCAGACTGGGGGACCGAGCTCCCGATTAGCGACTTCTCCACTGGCTTCAAAGGGGCTACGGACATTGAGCTACGTTCCTTTACTCTAGCCAAAATTGCCGAGCTTGAGGCAAGAGGGGAGGCTGGCTCCCTTGAGCCAGACTGGATCGCGATCATGGATGAAATATCGCTTCGAGGTAGGACAGTGGTCATGCAATACAACAAAGAGCTGTCCATGTGGGCTCAGGACCTGGAAGATGCAGAGGAACCATTTAAGATTCCCGGTGACGCTGATATAGAGGGCGATGGTATCTGGTGGAAGTGGCGGGTACCCAGCAGATTTCCAACAGTGTTGATTGTGGTGACCCTCCAATGATTCAGTTGTATTCTCGCCCGGAATTCCTGGGTTCGGATGGGGTTGTCAAGGTGGACGTTATTCGGAAAGCTATACGTGGAGACAGGTGATCCTATCTATCGCGTTATACATAGAGGTCTGGAATTGCAGGATTAGGAATGAATTTATGCATTGCTTTCTGTATCTATCTCACGGAGGTTCATTCGTAACATAGCTTAGTTTGAGCATACATAAGTTGAGACGACACTAACATCTTGATCGAAAAGAGAGCTTGATTTGTCTGTTGTTGAGCAGTTATGTGAAGCCCAGACTTAAGCCCTCCTCCGGCTTCTTTCCGACACTAATCATGGGGAGGAATGTAGATAAGGATTGCCGGAGCTTTCTAGGCTTAAGCTAAAATACTGAACTAGAGGCCTCAATTCTTGTAGATTCGTGAAACTTACCTTAGCCACTGCCCCGGCGTAAGAGGATATCAATTTGGTAGGTGACTCTTCTACCATGGTCACTGCATGTAATTATACCTGAGTTAAATTGGTGCGAAGAGCCCATATAACAGCCCATCCAGGCACAAAACATATCACAAGATATATACAATGACCTACGTGGAATTAATCCTCGTTCTACAAGAGGGCCAGCGGCACCTACTAGTTCATTGTGCTTAAAGTCTACGCAGATACGTGAGTGAGAGAGTGGAAACCATACCACGCCTCAAAAATAATACCGTTCTCGTGCAGACATGACCTTCAACGCTCGCCAGAATTCAATGGGGTTTGGCTCTTGTTCAAAGGCTGAACTGCAGTGGGTTTAGACGGTAAGCACCACGTACGTAAGGTGGCGTTTCCTCGATAAGGCTGACTCGCCCACTAATAGTAGTTTTGTTCAAAGTAGATATTGCCATGATCAACCCACTCCTTAACTGACCCGTATACTCAAATCTGATTAGAAGCCGGAACTACGAACGGCGCCACACTCCCCAACTTCTCACACGTTTCAGCATATTCGCGTTCCGGTTTGGAATTGATGGTCACACCAGCCCCAGCCTGTAACCACTGGCGACTCTCATCCTGGAAAACCGTGCGAAGAACCAGAGTAGCATCAAACAGTTTCGATCCTTCATCCAGCATAAGCACTGCTCCGCAATAAAGGTCTCTCGGGTCTGGCTCGAAGGACTTCATTGCATCTGAGTTGCCGTCTCCTGGTAGCCCAGGCACAGTAATATTGGCTATGAGACCGGGCAGAGCATCCCAACCATCGCATCCAGGCTTCAGGTTTCCGCACACATGGGAATGAAGATGCTGTACGCTTCCTCTTGGCATGACCTTCATGAAATCTTTGATCGCAATTGATTCCGGTTCGCACAGTTTACTCAACCGACGGATGGAGCCCTTGATAGCAATGACATGCTCGGCGACCTCTTTGATATCATCGTGGAGCTTGTTATTGAAAGGATCGAGGCTGGCTTTGGCTGAATTAGACAGTTGGGTTCCAGCAAGCGCTTCTGTATAGGCCTTGTCGCCGTTGATGGAGAGAAGGACTTCGGGACTGAATCCAGTAGCTTGGATGCCGTTGTGGTTGAAGGCGAATGTGCGCGCGGGGTTGTTGGCCCGTCGACCGTGAAGGAGGGTTGCTAGCATATTAACCCGAAAGTCTAAGGGGACTTTCCTGGATGGAATTGCCTTGGTGTATTTAGCTTTGGAGATATCCGCGATCGCATTAGTTACGCGCGCCTGATATGTTTGTGCGTCCACGTTCAGATTTATTTTGCCTTCGACAGGAGACGGCAGGGCAATATCTTCGGCCAGCTCGGCTTCCAGTATACTTTCGATCTTTTCGCTTACTCGGAGTATATCCTCATCATCATCTCCCGTGATAGTGACCTTACTCCGCTCAATAATAACCCCCACGCTAGGAACGATGAGGTCTAACATTGGCCATTGACCCGGTTCGAAAGCTTGGCCTGAACATCGGGCTGAATAGTTGAATCCCACTTGACCGAATATTTTCCCATGACTGGAATACTCGGAGACAAACTCTCTGATCAGGTCCGTGGGTGAGCCGGTGATAGCCGTAGATTCCGATTGGCCGTCACTGCCTGTCGTGGTAGCTGTTTGGCCTTGTGCATCAAATGTCAGAGATGCATGAGTGCCAAGCCCAATGTCCCATATTTCATTGTTTTCGAATATATAATAGCTTCCTTTCGAGTAGTGAGCCACTAGTGCGACTGTGGTCTCCAGCGGCCGTGTGGCTCTAGCAAGGGTGATCTGTTTCTGGGTGCGCGTCATGCTTGTTGAAGGTCTGTACGGGAAGGATCTGCAAGTGCTTGATGATAAGACAGGTCAAGGTTGAGGTATAGGTATACTACTCTAGGAGACAAAAAATAAGCTTTTCAGAGTTTAGGGTAAGAACAACGCAGACTGCCTCTGGGACTAGAATACCAGCGTATATTTATATACCTTGGCGTAAGTTAACTCCATAAGCTTACAATAGAATCATCATCATCTTTGTTCAGCCTAACCCGTTACGCAATTAACTTTGTTCTAGATGTAAGCGTAACTGGGTGGTGATGCGGATACCCATCCAACGATGCAACCCTACCGAAAACGGATGGTTTGTGGTTAGCGACTCCGCGGAATTTATACTCAACCGAGTATAGTGAGCTCTTAGGGTGTTCCCCTCACTCTGCCTCATTCTCACACACTGAGTGAAGGTCTTTTATCTATTTGTCTGAAAACCTTATAATGACCTCTTAAGACGATCCACCGAATGCATGCTTCATCCGGTGATTGCAGTCTTGATCTTTTCCTTTAGATCGGGAATCGGTTCGTCTTCGTCGACTTTGAGACCTTTTATCACTCGGGCCAACGCGGCGTACACACCAATGATCAATAGAACCTCTACCACATCCCCAACTGACAGCGACTTCAAAGCATCCTCAATTGTTTCCGGCTTATTGTCATAGGTGCTCAACTGTTCTTCGGTCATGCGGAGAATTACCCTATCTCGATCACTCCATGGCCCCTGACCTCTCATCACATCCTCAATACAGCATCCGATGGCGTCAAACTTCTCTTGAGGAAACCCGAAGACCTCGGCCACGGGCTTATTGACGTCGATCTCATACTTCGCCTGGAGAATAGTACCGACGCGTAACACTATCAATTGCCACTCATGCACTGGAATACTGCGCTGGCTTCCGTCAAAACAAGCACCAAGTAGACCGCTGATATGAGGAAATAAACCGTGTGAGTGAGCTAACGTTAGGAGAATATTGCGTCGAAAGGGCAGCACTTTGAGTCTTTCTTGGATATTTGGAGGTGCCGTGTCAGGGTCCACGTAGGGGACGAGGCATGTGTGTCGATAAGGATCGCCTTCCAGCTCATTTGGATTGGTTCCAGACATCTTGCAATGCGGTCAAACAATTTGTGGATGCCTTGTAATTATTGGCTAGGTAATTCCTAGTTAGATCCAGACGCCTCTCGGCGTTCAATCCCGGAAGGATGGTGATAAATGATAATAGTAGCTCGTACCTGGATAACGCCGTCCGTGATTTTTTTCAATTTCTTCAATTGGGACCGACTGTTAAAACTTAACGTTCTCTACATTGTAGTCTCTCACTATAAACCAGTACTCAGACAGTATCTCTTATACCTGTGTACCTCCACAATGTAGCCCTCCAGGAAACAAACCACAAGTCACATGTTATGACGGAGGTGGCATATAACTTTACCTTTGCCAAGTTTTCCGAAGAAGGAACAGCACTGTATTCTATCCTTTTCCCCTTAATACAGTGGATAAACGTGTCCGTGCATAATCGAACCACGGCACCACGTCTCTGTCTCGGTGAACTACCGGTTTTGCTGAACGGTTTTCAAGGCTGCGGCTTTGATGGCAAAGGATGTCGGTCTTCGCAGCTCTGGACATTTCTACCAACGAAGTTGCGTTACAGAATACTTGGTTTAGTCTTTCCTATCTGGGCCATTCCCCTGTTGTAGTATGGTACACGTCGGCCGACATAATGATTGGGCAAAACGAGTAGACTTTCCCGACTAAGAATTCGTGACATGTATCAAGCTTGGAAAATGCCAGTAGCTTCGTACCTTAGCTTGCTATGACCGCTCTCTATGACTTACCCTGTTACGTGGATTCTCGGAGGAGTGTTCGTCGAGTGAATATACAATTAGACCACAGTATTTCGCAGATCCCTCACAAACAATGAGGGGATCGAGGCCACCTTACCTCACAATGATCATATTCAAGTAACCATAGCCCTTGTAGTAGGAAGGCTTTTCGTAAGATGAATATTTATACTATCGAGCCCGCACGATAATGATCTATGTATAAGTCACCCAAGGCTCAAGCAGATCTTCAGGATTTTAGAATTCCAGCCTACATCGTTGCCATTACATTATGCGCATCCCGAATGGTTCACAGGGTCAGCATCTTAATGAAGTCAAAATCAATTGGCCGAAGCTCAATACAACAATCACGGTGAAAATTAATGATGCAAACCCAACACTAGTTGGCTTACTTGAAACTGCCCTACCTTATCGCTCCCTCCAAACACATGCCGTTGTTGCCGGCGACCAGCTATATCACTTGATTCCGTCAGAACAGCTGATTGTGAGTGGCTTATGTCACAAAGAGAGTCATCTTACTAACTGCGCAAAGTATACACCTGCCGACAAGAAGGCTCCTGATAGGGCGAAAGAGCCTGACGGCTCGGTATTTCTCTCGTCATTCCAGCACTTTGTGATCAAGTATGGTGAGGTAACCGAGCACCAGCCGGTGGCTACTTGTGGGAAGGTTATTGATGAAGATATGGATAAATTGCGCTGGGTTGCGGATGAAGTTTGGAAATTTCAGTGTGAAACAAGAAAGCACCCTACTGAGGTAGTTCTATGGGATGCTTCAAAGCCGGAGCCTGATCCCAATAAGCTGGACCTTTTCAGACATCAGAGGGCTGGTGTGAGTAAGGAGGTAAGGAAGCTCGTCGATGAGATTCATACCGAGGTATGTACCTGATGGTTTTGATTGGTGACAACTGGCTAAAGAAATTGACACAGACGCAAAAGTGTTGGTCGGATATATCCGAGGACATTGAAAAGATTCACTGTGGTAAGGCACTAGAAAGGCCTGGGTCAAAGGAGTCATACTTTGGTGCCATGGTGTTTTCTAACAGTGTGATACGAACACTTGGATATCATGTTCTCGACAACATCATAAAACTGGCGTTTACGCGTCCTGAATTTACCTTGAGGCATCTGATTGTGCTTTTCCGGGATTTCGTTCCATCAATTGCCGATTTTGTTGGCCATCTAGGAGCAGCATACGTCAATGACAGTTACGAGAGCATTGAAAAGCTCATCAAAGAGAAGGTTGAGAAAAATCCCAATCAGGAGGAGGCACGTGAGGACTTCCTTGCAATGGTCAGCGCATTGAGCTTCTATGTTAATCTCCTCAACGCCCAAAATCTGCACATGTTTCCCTGGAGGCACGCGAAAGAATACCAAACTGAGTCATAGGGAGCCATGGCTCTTCACACTATTTTGCTAAAGATTGCACTAACGGGTTCTATTATTGGTTGATTTTGATGTTTGTTCCCTATAAAACCTAACGCCCTTCTCTCACGTTATCCCCACAGCAGCGTATTATCAAACCCAATTTACCGTGATATGGGATATGGCGGCAGAAGTAGCGAAATGGATATTAAGATCAGATCAATTTCAATACTTAGATTTTACTTTCGCTTGTTAAAACAAATTATCTTACATTGCCCACTGAGAACCCCAGTATACTTTGAAGGAGCCAAGATGTAATTCATCTCACACCGTTGGGTCATATCAATTCGTGATCCTTACGAGAAGCAAAGAGACTTTTTCATCATCGAAAGTCATCCAAAGTAGACGAAAGAAAGGCATTTCAAACCTTCTGTCATATCCGCCTATATTGAATGATCTAGGTTCGTTGCATTCAGTGAATCTCGTGGACTAAAGCTAAACGGCGATATTTGGAGATTCGTCCATGACGTGTAAGCTTTACACCTCGAAATATTCGCCAAACCAAGGAAGATCTTGCTGAATGTTGGTTTGTTTAATACATGAGCTCAATCCTGATTTAGACGAAACTCAATATCATTGAGTCTAGGTCAGCCGACTTGAAGTTTATTGCGATTGATACGAGCACGAAGCTTTTACCTGCGGTTGATTCAAGTAAGAAAATAGTCCTGGATCAAGATAATAGCAGCATATTCTGTATTTAGTACACCTAATTCGGAGATTTTCGGAAATCGCTTCCCATGTCTTCAGCTTCCTTAGGAAAATAGATGTCTCAATCGGGGAGGACGAACCATCGTAAGCTAAAGTTAGACCTGCATATGAAAACACCCAAATCCCGGGCATATATCTCTTAACACTGGGTACATGAACTATACTACCATCTCAAATGGGGAATGGGGTTTAAGGGTCAAGTATCTTGATCTTATCGGAGGAAGAGCATAGCGGTGAAGACCGCAACCAGATGAGTCATACTTACAAGCACCTTTCTCCTATAAAGACAAGCATTCAGTGACGCAGGAGGCGTATTGGTATAATTTGTATCTGTATTGGATAAGTGTCGCCGTCACATAGAAAGTCTGTTTCCCCTTACAGCCATCCTTTATTCCCCTCGGCCCATTGTACTGTTGAACGGTAGCATTCGCCTCAGTTTTGCTCCACTAAAATCCTTGCCTGAGCTCATCAATTTTCCCTGTTATATGCTTTGTTTAAGGCTGCGCGTCCGAACATGCGCTATTTACTATGGTAACGGTTCAAGTTTTCAAATATGCCGGTTGGTGGCAACTCCAAGATAAGGCTCAAGCTTAAACAGATCGTCATATCAACATCGCCATCCTTATATAGAGCTGTCTGTCTACAAATTAACTCAATTTCTCTTGTAGAACTAGTGCATTGGACAACAAGCAGTCTCTGGGATCGTAACACTTGCTAGCTGTCGGAACCATGCATATTATCTGGCGCGACACGGCAGAAGAAACCGACTATGAAGCCGCACGCCTCCGGGGGTTATTCACAAAAGACATACCACCATATTACCCATTAGCTATCGTCCATGCCAGAGCAACGAATGACGTAATAAAGACCATCAATCTAGCGAAACAGAAAAATTGCCAGGTGGCAGTGCGTGCCGGAGGACATTCGCATCCTGTCTGGAGCCTTCATCCGAACTCCATCTTGCTTGACCTGGGCTACTGGAAGGAGCTGGACATCGACAATGAGACGAAGATTGTTCGAGCAACCCCTGCTGTAACAAGTGGGGAGATCAGTAAGTATTTGAATAAACGCGGCCTGTTCTTCACTGCTGCGCATCATCCGGATGTCGGTCTGGGTGGGTATATGCTACAGGGCGGTTCGGGATGGAATTATCGGGTAAGAACTCAACCTTATCATGTTTCCAATTTCCGCTAATGGATATAGAGGTTGGGCTGGGCCTGTGAAAGCCTTGAGGCAGTTGAAGTTGTGACTGCAAATGGCAAGCTTCTTCTTTGCAATCGTTTGCAGAACCAGGAACTCTACTGGGCGGCGAGGGGTGCAGGACCGGGTGGGTTACGCTTGTCACTAATTGATATCGTGGGCTCATTTCCTTTCTAGCTTTTCCAGGCGTCGTGACAAATTTTTACCTACAAGCATCACCTTTCCACGCAGGTGGTGTTCGCTCCTCCGGATACGTCTACCCTAGCCACCGGTATCGCGAGATCTTCACCTGGGCGCAATCGATGGTATCTAAAACGTCTCCCGATATCGATATACTGCTGAGGGCCATGCATTCGGAGTCAGATGACGATATATGCTTAACAGTGCAATTCTTTGCGATGGAGAAGTCATGCTCCGACGCTGAACAGGCTCTTCGTATTGTCGATGAAGCACGGCCTTCGGGTGCCATTAGCGAATGGTTCTGTGAGAAAGACAGTCTCAAGAGCCAATTTGCAGCGATCAAGAAAAGTAGCCCGCCTGGATATTATTACATCACCGATAATGTCTTATTAAATAACGACTGTGACGCTATATCTGTGCTTCAGGAAGCATTTCTGACGTTGCCACAAAGCAAGTCATGGGCTGGCTGGACGCCCAGGTATCCAAGCAGTGACCACGATATAGCCGGTATGGCAAAAGGGATACAGGCAAACCATTACTTTGTGATTCATCTAATCTGCGAGGATGCTGTCAGTGCCAAGCAGTATACGAAGCACCTGCAGGATATAATGCAGAGAATACGACCAAGCATAGTCGGTCACTACTTGGGTGACTCAGACCTGAACCAGGATCCGAAGTGGTACTGGGGTGAAGAAAACAGTAAACATCTGATGAAAATTCGACACCACTGGGACCCGGATGGACTGTTCGCAGCTACGCATAACGGACCGATGTGAGGTGAAGTAAGCGTACAATGAGAGGTTTCTATCTGAGCTGATAAAGACTATCTTGAACATGAAACAGAAGTAATTTCCTTACGGTCACCCACTAGCCTCCTGCTCTAAACGCGGATAGAGGTAGGGTAGCTGCAGCACCGGTCGAGCTAGTGGGTACGGCTGGGAGTACCAGAGATCGGCGGGCACTCCGGGGCAGGCACCGTATCCGGAATCGATCATAAAGCCTTACACAAGATCAGATAATCATATACTAGTAGTGTATTGGTTCTGGATCATACAGAAAGACAATATTTCATTTTACAGCTTGAGAAAAACAGAGGCATAAAAACATACAACAGAAGGGATTCGCTGGTGGTCACCCACCCAACTACTAACCTCCCGGCGTGTGGCTTAAGTACGGCTGAGCGGACGGGAAGCCCTGTTTTCCACACCCTGTGGTCGTATGTACTAGATAGGCTAGTATAATGGTTTGTATGATGATGTTTCAAAGTTGTTCTTGCTCGTTGCTGCGAAATAGATCTTGCCTCTTGAGGATTCATCTCCACAGGCAGGCACATGGGTAGGATTCCCGCATCGACCACAACCTCCCCAGTATGTGGGTGGTCTAGCACTTACCTTCAACCAATTCTTCATGTACATCTTGAATGGCTATTTTTACAACATCTTCTCTGATTTAAATCAAATCTGATCCTCCTGATTGATCCAAGTCATAGTACTCAGGTAATGTTGGCGATGTAGGCACAGTACTGTCTAAGTTGGGAGAGAACTTATATATTTTGGAGCTTTGCATGCTATATTATAGCCACACATGAAGGTATGCCAACCAAGTACTCTGTATAAATAAATCTCTAGCATCACTCTTCTAATAGCTTTTCTATTATCTATTTAACCGGAACTATGTAAGAGTACGATTAACGGCACAACATAGTAAAGGATTTTTGTCTTGTAATCTTCCCAGTCGCGGTTAAGTCACCAAGATCAGCAGTACTAATCACACAATCTTACGCTTTCACAACGGATATGTTTGACAGTACTCAAAAGTTTCATATTATACAACACAAGAACTAAGTTTCATATCGTACAAAGAGTGATTATATCCCCGACTTACTCACAATAAGCTCAGCCACCGCCCCCAACGTACCCGTAGACAAAAGCTCTAAAACCTGCACATTAGCCCTCGCCTCACGTGCAATCCAGCTCCGAAGCTCAATAGCAACCAGCGAGTCAAGACCCAGTGCAGACACAGAAAGCGATGGCTCGATGTCCTCTGGGTTCAAGACCAGTACCTGAGCCAGCTTGGCCGCCAAAGCTTCGTAGCAGACCCGCACTTTCTCTTCCTTGGAGGCAGCATTGGTGAGTTGCACGTGGAGGGGTTGAGAAATTCCCTCATCGGTTACATCTTCTTCACCTCCGCGGGTCTTGGGGGTCAGGAGCTCAAATTTGGCGTCTTGCGGCCAGAGGGGTTGTCGTGTCGAAGACGCCAATCCGGTAATTGCCTGATGGGCAAGGTCTCCCGTCACAGCCGCAGCGAGCAGGGCCAACACTTCCGACTCGGTCATGCCCTCCGTGCCGATGGTGCGGAGGACCTCTTCCAGGCGCGCGGCGTCTACCGTGGCGAGGTAGCCTGCGTCCCTTACCGCCGTAAGGGCAAGGCTTGTACCGGGGAGACCTTGGCTGCGGCGCCATTCCATGAAGCCGTCTAGGAATACGTTGGCGGCGGCGTAGGCCGCTTGTCCCTTGTTACCGACTACACCAGAGACAGAGGAGAGGGCAACGAAGAAGTCAAGGGGGTGGGAGATGAGGGCGTGGTGGAGGTTCCAGGCTCCCGTGACTTTGCTGTCCGTCACTGCCTGGAAATCCGCGAAGTGTATGTTCTCGAAGATCATATCCTAGAAAATGTCAATTTGATTTTGAAGAAATCTTGGTAAGAGAAGCCTTACCCGTAGAACCATTGCACCGTGGATGACGCCGCGAATTGGAGGAAGGTTTTCCAGGTCCTTCAGCATGGCGTCGACGGACGTGCGATTGCTCACGTCGCAAGCCTTCACCACAATGTTTGTGCCGCTGGGACGCAGAGCATCTATTAATGTCTGTACAGGG